AAACTACAGCCCCTTTTATGATCTGTGGACTTCAACTCCCAGAATTCCTGAGCCAGTTCTGGCAGTTGAAATTCACAGGTCGTAAAGGGGCCACAATTACCTACTCCTGCTTTGGGGCACAATCAGGTTAAATTTACTAATATGCTATTTGGTTGCTGTATCTTTAGCATTTGCGTTAACTACCAAAGCATCTCTTCTAAGGGTTGGGCAAAACACTGGGCTATGCTATAATGAGGCTCAGGCAGAGGATTTTTTTCAGTTCTTCTTCCTTGCCCTCACTTATATCTGACACTCAATTTACTGAGCACATGCATCTTGCTCTCTTATTCACTTCACCAAACTATTTTTAAATATGAGCTTTCCCCCTTTATTTATTTTTTTTTAAAAAAGGATTTGGTACATTTCTTCAAAGTTTGCTCAGACATTTTCAGTGTTGTGAGGTAGCCCAGATGAGATGCACCCCCAGACGAATTAATTCTACTTTATTATAAACAGAATCATTAACAGAATCTTATAAATTTGTTCCCCCTCATCTTTACGGTCCAAGAAACAAGGAAGGGTTCCTTCTGAGAGGTTTCTATGCCCCATTCCTTCTGAGGGCTCAGCTGCCTCTTATCCAGCCATTATCCTGGCTATGGAAAATGGTTTCTTTCCTTTCCCCTATCTCCTAAGGTCATTCCCACATACCATTACAGACATGCTGATACAAGTAGTCCCTGACTTATGACCACAACTGAGCCCAAAATTTCTCTTGCTAGGTGAGACATTAGTGAAGTGAGTTTTGTCCCATTTTATGACCTTTCTTGCCACAGTGGTTAAGTGAATCATAGCAGTTGTTAAATTAGTAACATGGTTGTTAAGTGAATCTGGCTCCCTCATTGGCTTTGCTTGTCATTGGCTTGCAAAAAGTGATCACATGATCCCAGGACATTGCAACAGTGCTAAATATGAGGTAGTTGCCAAGAGTCTGAATTTTGATCACATGACCATAGGGATGTCGCAATGGTCGTAAATGTGAAAAACGGTCATAAATCACTTTTATAAGTACCATTGTAACTTCAAATGAACTATTGTAAGTCGAGGACTACCTGTACTTTCCCTTCTTCCCTTCCAGTGTTTCTGTTTCAGTTTCAATCCTACCAGTACTCATCATTTTGATGCTGCGTGCAAGGCTTCTTCAAGTCAAACCCAATTGCTGGTAGCTTCATGGATGCTCCATATAATTTTCTTGGCAGCGATACAGAACTGATTTAACTTCTGGGACAAGTCCATGGCTTTGGCATTTCCTGATGGTTTCCCCTCCTAGTGCTAATGAGGCTTGACACAGTTTAGAGTTCCAAGGTCAGCTAATGCTGGCCTGTTGCTGCCAGCTACTTGTTCTCAAGGTGGTGCTCTAAAATGCTATCCGCTAATGTTCTACTCTAGACTTAATTATCTTAAGACCTCTATTGCTTTAAAAGGTGCTAAACAGGAATGCTGCCAGTTTTGCTTTTGCTAATTCAACTTACAAAGGTTCTTGCATCCTGCCCCAAAGTCCTGCCTAATAGAAGACAGAGATGGCTGGAAAACAAGGCACCCCAGAAGACATTCAGGAAAGGGCAAAAGGAGCCAATATAAGTGCCGCCAAGAGAGATTTCTGTACTAAGGCAGCTCTGCTTACAGCTTAATTTAAGACCAATGGAAGCTTCTGTATATTTTTCCTGGATAAAATAGGCAGGGCTGCATCTTTGGTTGTGAAACAACTGAGAATTTTTCTGCTAGATTGGTGTTTAGGTTCTGCAATTTTAATTAAAACCCCAACAAAGGGAGATCCTCTTTAGAATCTAGCTGAAAGGCTAAGGAAGGCTAAGGAAGTGTTTCTCAATCTTTAAAGTTTAAGATATATGACTTCAATTCCCAGAATTTCCCAGCCAGCATGCTGATTGGGAATTCTGGGAGTTGAAGTCCACACATCTTAAAGTTCACAAGACTGAGATACATCGTGCTAAGGAGTCTATGGTTCACCTCCTGGGCAAAATGCTTGCCTGTGCTTCTCAATTGCCCTTCCATGTCAAAATAAATCAGAGCTGGAGATTGCATGATGGAAACACTGTGCAATCACACACCCTTCTTCCCATTTCCCTGAGTAGCAGGGGAGGAGTAGAAACTGATTCCTTATGAGGATCTTTGAAATGGAATGTCAGGTGCAGATTGTCCCCTCTAAGGGCAAATTATCCAGAGCGTCTGCTCAAGCACTCCATGAGGTAGGCAGGGTTGGGAGAGATTAGCTCAAATTCACCCAATGAACTTTTTATCTTGCGAGGGACTTGAACTTAGACCTCTATGGTTCTAGCCCAACACCTGAATCTGTATTGGTTCTCTTAATGTTGTAACTTTCTATTGTTCATGTTATGAATTCATCATGCAATCATCTGTCTCACTCATTAAATTTTATGGAAGCATATGTCTACAGCGTCTTCTTGATGTTTTCCCATCGTTTTCCCCAATTGTTCCAGAAACTGGGGATGACATTCACAGGAAAGCAGCACAATGCCTATAGATTGATGACATAGAAATGGTCCATTCAGTAAAACCCCAGGGCTTTCTGTATCCCCCTGAATGGGTTTCTTATCCCATGACCAAAAACTGAAATGTCCACAGTGTTTGCTGATAAGACATCAAAAGTGCTTTAACCTTGAAATGTGGGGTGCCATTTGCAGATGGCTGAGAAACTTCTTCAGATTACTTTCTTAGTGTAAAATTAGAACAATTCAGATTCAATAAGACTGCAGTGGACAAAGAGAAATCACTCTTCCTCATGATTAAGACTGTGTGTTGCAAAATGCATGAAAAATTACAGGGTAGAGTAGGAGCCACCATTTTCTGTGTTTTCCCTTCGTTACTTGTGTACTCCTGGGAGGAAGAAAAGTGTTGCATTCTTGCATTCATTATCAGAATAACTAAAATTTCCCTTGCTAGTTCAGCTTTATATGATTGGCATCCCTATTCATAGTAATGACAAAAACACTTGAAATTACCAGCTATATACAGAACTGAAAAATGGTTCTTAGCTTCTTTCCAGTAAGTTACATAATTGCTTCTTTCCATGACCAGACTTTTCCAGCTGCAAGCCACCTTGTTTTGTAAAGACATGACAATGCTTGATATGGATACAGATATTTAATAGTTCACATGTAATGAAACAGTGTTGATACAGAAAATATACTATAAAGCCTTCTTCTTTCTTCAATCAAGTATGATCCATCCTTAATTATTAGGCCAGCCCTTCAATGTACAGGAATTATTTGCTCAAAGGTACAAATATTGCCAGCTGCAGGGGAAGTTGATGTCACCACGATTGATGCTAAGTGGGGAATGGAGCTCTAAAGATCATTATCTGGAATTGAAGCTTAAGGACCATCTTTCTAGATGGATAAATTATGGCATATTCTGCCAACACTCAGAATAATAGCAACTATATAGCACTTCCATCTTCCAAGGAGCTATAATAGCAAATGCTGGGATCAAACAAAAGTGTCATCTACCTAAACAGAATAGACACCAGCCTGAAGTAGCAAGAGGGTCCTTGATTGCCTTAAATTCATGGTTGCCAGCTACAGTTTGTTAATACTAGTTCTTGGGATTTTTCTTCAAAGCCTCTTTCATAATCTGCCTTTGACTTTTATCGGTCTTTTGAAGTCCTGTCTGTTCCCCACAGTTTTACAAATGAAATCATTTCAAAGAAAATGATAGACACATGGCCCAGTGGCAGAGCAATAGCTTTCTGAAGTTACAAGGACAATTTCTCCTGTTTTCAATCTTAGATTCAAGAGTGGAACAATTTAGCAGAGCTGCTTTCTCCCTCTTTTGTTCGCTCGCTCCTCCAGCCCTCCCTCTCTTCTTCTATAGTTTGAAGAAACTAAAAAGAGCTTAGTCCTAATACATGATTTCCAAACATGGTTCATCTTAAAATCCCGTGTTCCATCCTATGAAGATGGAATTGTTTTAATGAGGATCAACAATAAACATGCTTTATTTCTATTTACGGATCATCCCCTCTAACCAGGAGGAATGCATTCCACACCATTCAACTTAGCCTTTCACTTTTCTTACTAGGAAAGGAAACAGAGTCAAGTGGAGAAGACTTTCTTAATTCCAATGAACAGGGAGTACACCATAATTGGAAATGCAGATATTATTTTATCTGGACTAATCTTAAAAAAAACTTCCTTAAAACACTCAATTTCACATCCTACTGTTATAGAAATTATAGTCTCATAAACCCATAAAAGTAGCCTGTCTGCTGGATTGGATCAAAAATTAATCTAATTCAACATTCAGTTACTCTAATGGCAAACCAGATGCCCATGGAAAGCTCATAAGCAGGATATGACAGCAAGGCCTTTCCTTGCTGTTGTTTCTGGGCGGCTTGTATTCAGAAACATGGCTTCTGAAAGTATTGTGGACTCATCATTTATTTGTGAAGGACTTATCCTTCACAAATAAAATTGTTCAAGGTCATGGCCATCACGGTGTCAATGTCACTATCTAGATACTTATTTTATCTTCCACAATCCTTTGTCATTGTCTAGAATCCTGATTTTCTCCCTGTCTACTTCTTCCCTTCCATGCCTAATTCCACATCCATTCCCCAAATCTAAAGAATTGCAAACAATGCAAGCTTTCCCCTTGTTGAAGTTACTTCAGACTTTGATCACTCTTGTCTCCACTTTCCCCACTTTTACCTTTATTAAGGTGCAGCAGTTGGCATTCCAAGTGAAGTCATCTCATAAATTTCCCCATGCTCCCACATTTCTTCCCTGAGTGCTAGAATACACTTTCCTCATTTTCTTCCACGTTGATAAACACCCAACCATCCAAGAAGCACGGCTCTTCAGACACTGACCTACTCCCCCATCCCACAACAAGGCAGTTCCAGGAATGCTCCAACACAGGAACCACATCTGCTGATTCAGGGGACAGAATGGATTTCTTTCTTCATTGGTGTCAGTCTCTCAGACTCAACAATATAGCTCAGTGGAGGTGATGGAAGGAACAATATTAGAGCAGCTACTGTACATCACCACCCCAGGGGGATAGCAGACGGCATCAGGAACATCTGCTCTAGCAGGAGGAGGAAGAGGAGGAGCAGAACTGCTTGCAGGCTGAATGGTCATTAGGTTCTTCAGTACCTGCTCTTCCTGCTCAGGCTTGCTGGTACCCGTGAATGGGCGCATGGTGGTGGTGGAGGGTGAAGCAATCCTCCACAACAGCTTCTTGAGGGCTTTACGGAACTCCCTGCGCATGAGGCAGTAGAAGATGGGATTGAGGCAGCTGTTGGAATGTGCCAGGCAGACTGTGATGGGGAAGAGGTATGCCTGAGAGAGAAAGTAAGCATGGCTGAAGTGCAGAAGGTTCAGTTTGATGAGGACACCCCAGGTGGTGAGTGCCTGGTTGGGCAGCCAGCAAAGGAAGAAGGACAGTACCACAATGGTCACTGATTTGGTCACCTTGGATCGGCGTTTAGTACTTGGCCCACAGGAACCGGCACCCACATGTCTGTCACTAATGAAGCGCACCAGCAAAAGGTAGCAAAGGGTGATGATGGTCAAAGGCAAGAGAAAGCCCAGCAGGACTTTTTGGGCATGGTAGAGCCCCAACCAGAATGGAGTATTGTTGCCTTGGCTATCAGGTATCTTGACCAGGCAGAACTCCTCACCAAAGATAGTGGAGGTGGTGGAGAAGATGCCATTGGGCAGAGAAGCTAGAATGGCTAGGATCCATATGAGTGCACACAACCATTTAGCTGAAGAGCAGCCATCTAAGAGCCCTCCTTGTTTCCTGCTTTTCAGGGCAGAGGCCACTGCATGGTAGCGGGCGACGCTCATGGCAGTGAGAAAGAAGACACTGGCATACATGTTCATGGCTGTCACATAGGAAAGCATCTTACACATGATTTTGCCAAAGAGCCAGGTGAAATCCAGAGCATTCTCCACTGCCCAGAAGGGCAGAGTCAGGACAAACTGGAAATCGGTCACTGCCAAACAGATCACAAAGAGATTGATGGAAGACTTTTTCCATTTGCTTCTCATCAGGTAGAGCACCAGCACGTTGCCAACTAGACCGAGGGCGCACACCACAGAGTAGATGATGGAGATGAAGATCCGGAGGAGGATAGAACTGCCTCCCTGTAGTCCATCTGCTCTCTCCAGGTTGAGGAAGCTTCTCCAGAACTCCTGCAGGGACTCGTTGGTGCCGTTGCTTAACAGCCTCTCTTCTAGCAGGCTGGGGAACGGGTTGAGTTCTCCTCCTGCTTCTGCTTCTTTTATGCTGTCAGTAGCTGCAAGCGAGCATCCCATGGCAGAAGGGAAATTTTTGTGTCTTCTCAGCTCCGCATAACAAGCTGCCACTCAAGACAAAAAAAAAAAAGTCTCTCTTTTCAGAAGTCGCCAGTTAAAGGAAGGATTCCATTCATCCGGCAAGCGGGAGAGAGCCTACCTAGGCTGCGAAATCTTTGGCAGGGAATTTGGGAAGGGAAGGTACGGAGCTGGAGGAAGCTCACAGCTGATCTTCTTGGGAACTGAGGAGAGAGGACAGCGCAAGCTGCCGGACGCCCGAACCAGATCCAAAGACAGGAGACCACAGACCTCGGGGGAGCTCCAAGGAAAGTCACTCACTGTTGGGGTAGATCTGGCAGCGGTGCCTTCCAGAAGTCGCTGCCGGCTACCGAGCGTGCAGCTAACTAAGCCCCGTTGAAGTTGAGCGCGGGTCTGCCGGCCATCTCCCAAACAGCAGCATTTCTTGACACTTTGGTCCAATCTGCAACTATCGCTCAATGCGAGTTCTGCCTCCCGCTCCGTTGCAGACGGCTCTACTGCGCGTCAGACTCCGCGGGCTGCTTTTAACGTGCGCGCGCAAGAACGCGCGCCTGGTGCTCTCCAAGGTGCTGCAGCGCCCTCCCGCCCCCGCCTCTCCTTTTTACAATCAAATTGGCTGCCGCCGAGATAGAAACCTGTTTTAATCTATACCAGCGGCTTCAGAAAGGACCTTACATGGTCAAAACTCTTTTGAATTGTTTCATATGATCTTTGCACTTCTCTCCATTTAATCCCACAACTACTATCCCCATTTCATACGGATGTAATATCTGCTTTCTATTTATAAATTCAGCACAAAGCTGCCCACAAGTTATTTTCAATAAAACTTGTTGAACAGTGGTAGTGATTAGATTTTTTTTTTTTTTAATGGATAGTGGGAGCGATGGTGATGGGATTTTTTTTAATGTGCCAAGTAGAGAGAAAAAAAAAGAATTTAGATAAATAAGCAGTTTTTGATTTCAGTTATAATAATGTTTTGCTTATTTGTGGAACTCAGCTTTCTGCTATTATATTTCCTTTTAAAAGGAAAGTGGAAAAATAAATGCAAAAGCCATTGATGAATAAAATATTTATTAGGACCAATCAAAATGCAACAAAATGTGCAAACTTCAAATACAAAATCAGAGATGAAGAAAATACAACTACATAGTCTACATCTACTCATTTGGGTAACCAACATAATTCAGAGCAAGTTATTCTGTTCAATGATTTGCAATGTAATTTTATATAAGTTAGTTCAAAAGGAAGCCCCACTCAATTCAGTAGGATATATTTCAGAAGTCAGTGGAATCATAACATGCATTTTTAGAAGCTAAATTGGACTTATTCTGGCTATGGGCCTATGGATGGAATGCAATCAGCATGTAAATATATATGCAATGTGATGCTAAAAAGAATTTAAACTGGATTTGTAAGTGGGCTCAAGAGCACATATAAAGTTACTTTTTCATTGCCTTGTTACAAAATGACTATGGTCAGCTGTCCTGATTCTTTGCTACGTAAAGGGTCTCAGAGACTTGATATAACTGTCTGGTATATTTTAAAAGAGATTAAAATCTTTCCTTCACCATGCATTTTACTTACCTGCATCAAATCAGACATAATGTTTGTAGCAAGAATGAAAACACAAAATTAACACCTTTAATTATTTAAAGTGAACCAGTTTGATCATAAGAAAGATATTGTTCAGCTATAGATTTTGCTTTAAGACTTTAGCATTCATTAACAGATATTTAAGCTCTGATTGGAGATCTTTAACTTCTTGCCAATTTTCTCATACTTGTATAAACACCTATTTAACTACTGTTTATTCAGTAAACACCACTGATGAGTTCCATGTTAGTTTAAACTCAGTTTTCAAATCCTAGTTTTGGGTTGATGCAACAGATTCAGTCCAAACTAACCATACCACATTCTGGCTTTGTAGGACATGTAAACTCAACCCAATTATCAGAATTAGCCCATTTCTAATTCTTAAAATAGCCAGCCAATCCAAAGTGAATCAGATAGATTCATACATTGCACCCAATCATTATGTAATGTGTTTAGTTTTGGCTTAACCTATGGTGCACTGTAATGTGTAAATGGAGGTATAATAATGTGGTATAATAAGGTAGAATAATGAACAATTACTAAAATAATGATTTGTCTGCATAATTACTAGAATAATGATGTAATGCATAATCACTGGGAAAATTCTGTGTCAGTAATGTATGACTAACCAAATGCACATTGCACATGGATACTTTGTATGAAGCAAAACCTACCATTGTATGCCCGTGAGAAACGATCCTAATGAATTACAATGTATATTACAATGTGTAGTCCTTTGTTCCTGAGAAAAGGAAAGTATAAAACTGAAGTTTGAGCCCGCCCTCCTTGTTCAGAATTGCTTGTCTTTGTTGCTTCTGAACCTGCGCAAATAAACCTCTCTGCTAAAACCCTCTGGAATTCGTAAGAGTCCTTTCGTTTTCCACAAGAATTTGGCTTAGATTTGTGTGAAAATCAGGACACTATGGCAAAGCCAGCTATGTAACTGCATTTGGAAATCATTTCTGCCACATTTTTGTATTCTAGATCAGACATGTCAAACTCGTGATGTCACGTGACATTGCACAACATATCGGTTTTGCCATTGCTGGCAATGGGGTGGGTGCATCTTCTGCATGACACGTCCGGCTCGTGGGCCGGCAGTTTGACACCCCTGCTCTAGATTATTCCACAGCCTGGGTAGCACCAAGAAAAAAGGACATGCACTAACAATTAGCATTCTTATGTCATGCACTGCTGGAATACAATGAAGGATTTATTATGAAAGCTGCTCTAAGAAAGTTTTAAAATATGTAGATTTAGAAGGTTAACAGATATGCACTAGTTCCCAGATGCAAGTCAGGACTGATAGCTAAAGCTCTACATATCCTGGGCCACAGTATCTGAAGGGGCACCTACTGGTACTTCTGTATCAGCTTTTCTATTCTGTTAGAATCTAAGGGAGAGACTGATATAAGAATTGAAGCAAAAGGTATTAAAGACAAGAACTTTTTTGTGGTAGCCCTGTACTTCTATAATGCTTTTCTAAGTATGATTTGCCTGGGACCATCATTGTTTTAACAATGATCTGTCCATGTCTTATTGCAAATTTCCTCAAACTTATATAAATAATGTACCTTAATAAAAATACATTTCAAATATTTTTCTTGTAGTAATACAATTTAAAGACCCACCCCCTCAATCTCTCTCTCACTCTCTCCTCCCCCTGTCTCTTCATGTGTGTAATTTTGATATGATTATTTTTTGCTTTGGATGCTTAGTTTTATTGAGATTACTGTTTTTAGCTTTAGTATTTGTTCGATACTGGTTTTTTATTGAAGTTGAATAGCTCTAAACTATCTTGGGCAATTATTATATGAAGATACATTAGAAATATTTTCATTGTTTAGTGCTAAAGGCATCATAGAGTATATTTTAGAACGTTCCCCAACAACCTCCTGTGAAACTAGGATGAATAGAAGAGAGAAAATAGACAATTCTTTGCATTTCTGGATTTACTTCCTCCATTTCTTCCTCTGATTACCAGAATTAAAAAGAATTGAATGGTTTATTAATGATGGTTGAAATAAATATTCCTTTAGCAGGGATTACATAAAGGACCCAGAAGGTGTTGGAATTGAAATCTTTTGGATCCAGAACTATCCTGGCTCAGTTCCACTCATGTTGATACAAAAACTGGGGACTGAGTGGCTCTTTAAGGGGTAGAAGTGATGAATATCAATAAGTCCTATGGCCCTTAGGATATTGATAAAAATGGCATGCAAATATACCCTAATTAGCAACAGGTGAATAAATTAAGCCAACTTCTTAAATTGGTTCCCTATGTATAACATTGGAACTTTTTAAGAAGAGACTGGACAGCCATTTGTCTGAAATGGTATAGGGTTTCCTGCCTGAGCAGGGGGTTGGACTAGATGACCTCCAAGGTCCCTTCCAACTTCCACTGTTTCTTCAGCTTCTTTGCATAGGCGGCACTTACTGTCTGTTGCTGTCTTCTCAATTTTGACTTTATATGCATTTGTCCTTAAGGCTTGGTCTTGTGCAGCCAGAATTAGTCCCTCGGTCTCTTTCTTCAATTTTCCTGCTCTTAGCCATTGCCAGGTCTTGTTATTATCTGCTTTCCCAGCTATTTTTTTTA